CATGTTGTCTCTTATATTTGCAAACATTTGATATGAAAGGATTCATGTTGTCTGCTCTCCTATGTGTTGTGTTTTATGTTTAAGGGCCTAAGTGGGTCTCCTTTGACACACTAACAACCGGCTCTCTCTCTCTCTCTCTCTATGTTGCTTGCATTCTGTGTAGAAATTGATTAGTAGGTGTTATATTGTCCAATTGGAAAAAGGGTAAATATGACTCAGCCCATCTACATGCCAAACCAACTGTAAAAAAGAAGTTGTTTGGCTATAAAAAGTTGAAAGTCCAATTTAGGAGTATTTTATGATGATGAGCTATTAAATAGTTCTGAAAACATTACAACAAAGTTATTTAAATTTTATTTAAGAGTTTTTAGGTTTGAGTTCTGATGATCAATTTCACTTTGAGTTTTTCTTATTACACTAACCATTACTATGAAGTAAAATTTCTCTTTAATATATTTAGAATATGTTTGAATTATAAATTTTATGAGAAATTTGTGAAGGAACTGAAAAGATAAGAGAAAATATATATAAAATATAAGCAATATTTCAATCATTTTTTCTTCATTAATTGTTTTCTCCTTTTATATATGTAAAGGATTAACAGTGCAGATACATCAAACCTGCTTCTAAGAAATGAGAGAAGGGGATGCAACATAACATCTATCAAGTAGAATAGATAGAAGCTAACGAAACCATTTTGCACCCTAATCAGATAGAATCCCTTGGCTTCATTCTCAAATCTAACCAAACGCAGCACAATTTTAATGCTGTGCTTGGTTGGAGGATTTAAGAAGAGATTTGAAAAAGAAAAGAGAAAAAAGAAAAGTTAGGTGAAATGTGAATAAAATATACCCACATTTCACCTAGTTTCACACACCTTTTCTCTTTCTTCTTTTAAATCTCTTCCCAATTCCTCCAACTAAACACAGCACAAAAGAATTGGTGCACAAGAATTTTTGTAGACCCCATTCTTTGACAACTATTAATCTTATTGCACTCTAGTTCTGCAATGAAATCATTTTAAAGTCATGTAAAAATATACATAACTCGAGAGTCATACCCAAAGATCAATTAACCATCATTGCCTCTGTTGGTAAAAAGTCCAAGTTACATTTACCACCCACAAAGAGTGCTTTTGGGGCTCAATCTCAATAAGAGACAGGGCAGTCCCTAACCCCACATAAATCAGATTTTGTGTTCCCCTCACTTTTTTGATTGGGAAGTGTGAGTCTCTAGCCATGTGTGGGAGGTGAAGTAGAAATAACAATGCCCCTGATTATGCCTCACCTCTAATGTTTTATGTTTTCTGAAAAATGTTATAAAAGGTTAAAATTTGACAAGGCTTTATGACCCATGGAATCACATTTTCTTGTTTATTCTTTTTATTTTTAAAAAAATTAATAATTTTTTGCAACCTTGTCCTAGCCTTCTAATGATAAAGTAGATTGGCTGAATTTGGAGTTTCAACTTAAAGTTGTGAAATTGAAGAAATCTCAATTATTCTTAAAGAATGGTAGACTTGGATAAAAAAGAGGGAAAATAATTTATTTTCTCAAGAGAAAAATAAAAGAAAGAGTGGGTAGTTATTTATTGGCATAATCAAAACCTTTCTATTTAGACAAACAACTAAGATTTCTTTAATTGTGTTGGTGAAGTTAGAACTCTAAATTTATCACATTTAAATTCTATATATTTGTCCATGAGCAATAATATTAGATTGATGCATAAGTTACAAATTTTAAAAGTAATCAAAAAAAAAAAAATGAAATGTATAATAAATATTCAAATTTAATATGATGTGATGTGATGTGATTAAAATAATCTATTATAAACAATGAAAAATGATCTAGACCTCTAAAATGATGCATAAGTTACAAATTTTAAAAGTAATCAAAAAAAAAAAAATGAAATGTATAATAAATATTCAAATTTAATATGATGTGATGTGATGTGATGTGATTAAAATAATCTATTATAAACAATGAAAAATGATCTAGACCTCTAAAAAAAGAGCTTTAATTTGTCTTTTTCTTTCCTCTTTTTTGTCTTTTATTGCACTATTTTTTTTTTTTATTCATGGACAGCTCATTAGAGCTGTACTGCAGCAGCTCTAATTAGAGCTCTGCAGCAGCTCCGTATAAACAATTTCCTATGCATTTTTAAAAAAAAAAAATAGATGGAGTGACATTGCTGTTAAAACAGCCAAATTGTAGGGGTGCGGTAGCCCAAAAAAACCAGTAGGTCCCATAAAAGTTAAAAAGTAAACATGCTTAATCACATCCATTTGAAGAAACGAATGTACATCTTTTATAATCCATTCTTGATCCAGATACTTCCACTTGAAGAAAAAGAAAAAGACAAAAAAAAAAGAAAAGAAAATATAACATTTGCGTTTGCATATAATGATTGTAGGAGTATTTTCAATCAATTATTTAAAGTTGAAATTTTACTTGGCACTTTTAAAAATACATGTCAATTATTTATTATTATTATTTTATTTTGCGGTACTTACAATAAAATGAGTTCTTACAAAAACTATACATGTGAATCTGACAATAGAGTGTCTCTTTTTAAAGATGTCAAATATATAAATTTATTGTCTTAACTTTTAAAAAAAATTGATATAATTTTTAAAAATTTGAGTTAGAATTATTTATATGGAATGAACTTATGAGGAAGGGCTTAAAGGTGGGCCAGCTAAGTCCCTAGGCCAATTTTTGAACTCAGGCTCAGCCCAAAATCATGGAAAGGGATTACCGTTGCCACCTTCATCGCAGGGCTGGCCTGAATTTTTTGGGCCTACACTATTTTTTGGGCCAATTGCTACTCAAGTGTTCTTTTCCAATTGAAAATCCAAGTAGATAAATTCTGAAACTAGAGACTATTGTGGGCTTACTATGGGATCTACCTTAAAAATCTTAGTTTAATTTTTAAATTAATATTTGGATCAAAAAATTAAAAAATAAATTTGATTTATCAATTTTTTTAAAAAAATCAAAATTATTTTTCTTCTCTCCTCTCTCCTTTTCTTTTTCTTCTTTTTTTTTATATATTAACAAATCAATCGATCATTTTTTTTTCTTTCCTCCTTCCTCTCTTGCTCGTTCACATTCTACACATCAATCAATCAAATTTTCTCATTTACCCATCTATTCAACTACAAAAAAAAAATACAAATTATTCCAAAATTATTTTCAAAACTCATAACCAAATAAATTTTCAATTTTCAATAACTTATCTTTCAAAATACAACTCAAAACTCTTTTAAAAAATTAAACTAAACATAGCCTAAATTGTTCATTTTGTAAAAATTTTCAAACAAATCATCATAAAAGAAAAATAGATTAATCGAACAAATAAAGTTACATAATTTGATCATATTTGTTTTACAAAAATAAAAAAGATAATTTATTATCAAAATTAAAATTTATCATTTGCATTTTAAAAACAAATATGGTTTTGATAAGGTGGTCATAATTATCCAATTAATATGATTTTTTTTCTTTTTTATATGAGTTATTTATTTGAAATCAAAATTATTGAAATAATTTGGATTCTCTCCAGTTAGATGGCCATACAACATAAGAGAGCAGTTTGGATTTGGTGGGTTTGTTTTAGGATCATTTAGAATATTTGTTCAAAAAATTAAGATGATTAAAAGTTAATAGCTATATATTTGAATTACATATGTATTATAAAAAAAATGAATTGTCAATTTTTAAAATTATATTTATGATTCATTTTTTTAACATAAATATAATTTAAATATATAACTATTAATATTCGATCATTTTAATTTTTTTTCTTAAATATTTTATTCAACGAATTGTTAAAAATAATTGATTTGAATCACAGACAAGCCCACCAAACCCAACTGCAAGAGAATCCAAACCCAACTTTTTCTCAAACTAGTCACAGAATAAATCCCCATCACCATCCCAAAGCTCTTTCCTGGTAAGCGTGACGATACAGAAACGCAATGGGAACATATATGTCATATATGTCGAGAAAATTTTAATATATTCTCTTTTTTAAAAAGCTGTACCATATGAATTTTTAATTATATATTATTTTAGTTATGATAATTATATTTTTTTAGTCATGACTTATAAATTTTTAAGTTATATCTCATATTATATTTAATTATGATAATTTTTCTTTTTTAATTATGATTCAAAAAATTAAAATTATATCAAATTTTTTTTTAATTATAATATATATATATATAGGGTATGTTTGATTGGGTGGATTGGAGTATGGGATTGAGATTATTAATTTGTGGGCCAAATTATCCTATGTTTGTTTTAACATTTTGATTTAGGATTAATAATCCAATGGATAATTAATCCAACAAATTTTTGTAGGATTATTAGTAATGGGATAGGGATGGGATTATTAATCCAATGGATATTAATCCAATTGGATAGTGAATACCACACTAATTGAATAGAATTATTGATTGGAGCATGGGATTGAGATTATTAATCCGTGGGCCCAATTATTCTATTTGTTTTAATATTTTGATTCAGGAATAATAATCCAATGGATAATTAATCTAACAAATTTGTAGGATTATTAGTACCCCAAATATTCTACCAAAAGTTTTACCAAATGTCTCACATGGGTGTGAGACCCACACAATGTGGGTCCCATGTGAGTCCCACATTTGGTAAAACTTTTGGTAGAAATTTTGGAGCCTCTAGCATTTTTGTTAGTAATGGGATAAGGGTGGGATTATTAATCTAATGGATATTAATCTAATTGGATAGTAAATACTACACAAATTTAATACTTTATTATTTGTGTTGCGAATCAAACATGAGCATAGTGTACAGTGAGATAGGAGCAAGGAAGAAGGATGTGTGCGTTGCCGCGTAGAGAGATGAAACCGAGTTAAGTAGTGAGGGAACTGTTTACAGTAAGAAAAAACACAATATCTGAAAACAAACCATACATACAAACACAACTCTCCTATCGTCACCAACTAAGCAAATTAAAATTAAAATTAAAATCAAAATAAAAAATCATATTTTGTTTTTCTTCACCCTTTCACACCTTATTTTCACACCACCCTTCTCTTCATATAAAATCTTTCTTCTTCTTTCTTTCTCTTCTTATCTATCATTATTTTCTTTCAATTTTCTCAGCAGCCATGGAGGGATATGATGGTCATTATATGAGTGTGAATATCGACAACACAGGTGATAGGTTTCCTCATTGGAGTGTTCAGGAGACAAGGGACTTCTTGATGATTCGAGCCGAGCTTGATCCTACTTTCATGGAAACCAAACGCAACAAGCTTCTCTGGGATGTGATCGCAACGAAAATGAATGAAAAGGGTTACAATCGTAGCACAGAGCAGTGCAAGAACAAGTGGAAAAACCTCGTCACTCGATATAAGGTACTTCTAGCTACTCTCCTATATAAAAAAAAATACAATACTCAACAATACAAAAACAATCTCTCTGATTACTCCCATGTTAGATTTAAAAAATAAAAAATAAAAAACATACCCAAATCTTAAGTCCGATCCTAGAAAATTAGACTATTAAATGCATACTTGACGTCATTGATGAAAATTATCCAAGTCATCAAGTTGTTGTCTTCCGCCTGTAATACCCTATTTTGTTCTTGTCTCACACAAAGATGGAAAACTTGTGAGAACAAGAGGCTAGTATTTAGAGCAGGAGCTCAACCACATATTTGTAAAATTTTAATTATATATTTGTTCATTATAAATAAATAAAATTATAATAAGTAGGCCAGTAGATTGGTTTCTACTCATGTTATATTTTGTATTGATAACAATGGAAAAGATTTTGCGATTATAGAAAATTTCCAACCTAATGATATACATGAATACCTTATGTGCCACTCGAATAGTAGTAGAACATATGACTAATTTGTCGATAGTTTTAGAAATGATAAACCAATACTAAGTGATGTTGGACACATAATCACTAAGTCAGATTTAATAGATAATTTATTCGGATTACAAGTTTGACGTAGCTAGGTTTTTTTAGGGATGTCAAACAATGAAATTGGAGACGCAAGGAATGTGCCAGCATTTTCCTTTTTACAATGAGCTGCAGGCGATTTTCACTGCAAGGATGGAGCGAATGCTATGGACCCAAGCAGAAGGAAGATCGAATAACAACGAGGATGATAACGAAGAGAGCGATACAGTCAGAGAGATGATCAGTAACAGCAAGAAGAAGAAGAAAAGGAAAGTAATCAAGACTGGCATCAACCAAGGTAGTGCTAGTAGTAGTGAAAAGCTCAAGATTTTGAAGGAGCTTTTGGAGGAGTTCATGAAGCAAAATATGGAAATGGAGATGCTATGGATAAAGGCCTATGAGGCAAGAGAAGATGAGAGGATGGTGAAGGAGATGGAGTGGAGGCAAACCATGGATGCTCTTGAAAATGAGAGGATTATGTTGGATAGGAGGTGGAGAGAGAGGCAAGAGCAAAGAGGGATGAGAGATGAAGTTAGAGCTGAGAGAAGAGATGCTCTTGTAACAGTGCTTTTGAACAAGCTCAGAAGAGAAGACTTGTAGTCAGCTTTTGCTTTTTCTAAATTAATGGTATGATAGAATTGATCAAATTACTTGCATTTTACGTATTGTGTGATTTGGATTCCTGTCATCTTAATTAGTTTAATTTTATATTTTGTATTAATTTAGTCTAAATAATAACAGTGAGTAGGATTTTTGAAGAAAATTGTAACTAAATTAGTTGAGATTTACTCATTAAGTTGAATAAGTTTACAATTTTATTTTAAAAATCATGACACATGTCTCTTATATGCACATTTGTCATAAAAAAATGTTAAAAATTATAATTAATTAGATCAAATTGAGATAAAATCATAAATTTATGATCTAAATCGAACAGTCAATTGAAATTACAGAGAATAAAATGACACTAAGACTCAAAGTTTAGGGACTAGCAGTACTATTTGCTCTATAAAATTTATATAGGCAACTACGTGATCTTTTGTATTCTCTTTATCTCAAATTAAAACACTTATCATTGTGACTTAAAATTGGCTTACTCCTGGGGTGGCTGTTAATAGAAATTCACAGATAATCTGACTGCCATGGACTGCTTTTTCACCTATAACCCTCCTCAACAGGTTCGTGACATGCTTGAAGAATCTGATGCTCCGTGCAAGAGACCTGAGGATCCATCTGGTTTATCGTATAGTTCAACCATAAATATGATTACTGGGGACCATAAGACGACCACTGAGCCTTAGCAGACAAAACAGTTCACGGTGAACAAGTTCAAAATGATGCCTTGTTATTCGGGTAGGACTGCAAACGAATCGAATCAAGTGGAGTTTTACTGAGCTTCAGCTCGGCTCGGCTCGATAAATTTTTTTAATATTATTTAAATAAAAAATATTATTTATATTATTTAATATATAAATAATATATTTATACTATTATTTATATACTATTATTTATATATTATTCAATATATTAATAATATATTTATTATATAATTTAAATAAAGATAAACAAGTCGAGCTTATGCGAGCTCGAGCTCAGCTCGTTTACTAAACGAACCGAGTCAAGCCGAGTTGTTAACGAGCCGAGCCGAGTCGAGCCGAGCTTATTCATAAACAACTCAGTTCATTTGTAGCCTTATATTCGGGTGATCTTTGTTCTGGTTGGCTAAGGTGCCCTTACTTGCATACCCATGACCCATTCACGAGAAGGAACTAGATAGGACAATGGTACAGCTACAATCCTTGCCAGTTTCCGCCCCTCCATGCCCTAATAGGTCTAATTGTGAACTTGCCCATGGAGAATACGCGTTGGTGTTCTATGTCGAAACAGAATGTTATGGAACGTACTTGTTTGTAGAATGACAATTTGAACCTGACCTGACGGGGACTTGGTTCCCTCGACTCCAATTAGAGCGATTTTTTCCTGAAAAATATTCCCAACGGGCCAGGAATGGTATTAAAAAATGAATCCTCGATAATTTCGTGCCGGTGATGGTGATACGTTTCCCAGCCCCAGCCCCAGTCCCGTTCCCCCCCGAAGTAAAATTATTATTATATCCCTCTTTATATATATGTGTATATCTATATTTTTTTGACTTAATTTAGGGTTAGGTTCACACTCACACAAACACATTGTCTCTCTCTGCTTTGGCTGTTGCTCTCTTACCGCTCACTCGTTCCTCCTTCATTGCTGACGTCGCTCATTCTTCACCGACGTCTCTCTTCTCCCTTACCAGCATCTTCCTTCTCCCTCGTCGGCTCCCTCTCTCAAACCACTGTATAAGTATGAAGACGAACCAAAGTTCATTCTGATTTTCATCCCTCAATCGACTCTCTCTCTTTGGTATGATTTGCCTCTTTCCTCTATCAACTCTTCGATTTGTCTCTCCTTCTCACCGTTTTTATTTTTATTTTTTTGTGTACGAATCTTATTTAAATAGAGGATATTTACTCTGTATGTGTGTATATATCTGTATGTATGTGCTCTGTCGCTTGATTCTCCTCTGAATTTTGCTCTGTTTCTCACTGTGTGATCTCTGATCTTCTAGGTATGTTTCGTTTCCAGATCTCTCTCTGTTGATATATATATATATACACACATAAATCTGTATGTGTGTTTATGAAGTTTGTTGGATTTGATTGGATTGCTGATTATTTTGTTTTGTGAGCTGTAATTCTGTGATTTTGTTGGTTTAGTTTCTGGAACAATGTTTGTTTAATTGATTTTGTTCAATAATAAATTACTTTAATTACAGCTAATAGTTTGAGAAACATCTTATTTTTTGTTTTCATTTTCCTGTTGTTAATGGTTCCATTTGCAATGTTTCTTAAGCTTTGACAACTTTGTGTTACTTTTAACTATGGTTGAAGCAAGTTTGTTTCATTTTTTTTCATGACATCTAAAAAGGGTATGTGATGAATTATCTGCTTTAATGAAATGGCATGTTGTCGTAGTTGTTTCATCACTATGAGTTGGATATTGGAATATTTTGTGGATTTTTATTTATTTTTTGGTATTCAAATAATATGTTGTGATAGAGAAAATTGAATTATTTCTATCTTCCTTGTTGTTCACTTGTATTGAATGTGCATACATGGCATTCTTTTGTTTTGACTGAATGAATTGTTGCGCATGTTTTCAGATTGTATAATATGATTAATTTAATCCATTTTTTTATTTGTTTGCTTGTTAACATTACTAGGATGATCATTTATTAATTTGTTTTTGTTTTAAATTTTTATTTTCAATTTCTTTTAGAAATGCTTCATTTTATCCATTCTAGAATTGTGTTAGAAAAATTTGCTCTTTAATTTTGCTGCCTCTTTATTCATTTCATGTTGTTTTTATAAAGGTTAAAAATGTCAGATGTTAACTCTCAAGTGCCAATTAACTCTCAAGTACCATTTGAGAGCGAGGCCTCACAACAATCATCGTCAGTTGCCAACTCACCTACCAACTCATCGTCTCCCCTCTCTAATCAAAATGTTATTGATTTAGAAGAAGAGTCTAATACTTGTGGATGAACTAGAAGAAAACCTAGTGTTGTATGGGAACACTTTAAGAAACAACAAGTCCATGCGGTGCGGAAGGCAATATGTAATTATTGTAATAAGCATCTTGGAGGTAATTCAAAAAATGGAACTAGGCATTTGCATGATCACTATAAGAGTTGTGCTAGGAAAAAAGTTATGGACATGAGGCAAAAATTTTAACTAACAACTTTAATAGAGAGAATCCAAAAATGAATTCTTATATTTTTATCAAGATTTTGTTAGGAAAGAGTTGTCACATGCCATAATATTGCATAAATATCCCCTCTCTATCGTAGATCATGTTGGTTTTAAACGATATTTAGCAGCACTCCAACCATTGTTTAAAGTACCTTCTCTAAATATGATAAAGAGCGATATTTTAAAGATTTATGATTATGAAAGGGTAAAGACATTGAGTTTGGTGAAAAACAATAAAAGTAGGGTGGCAATCACAACTAATATATAGACTGTTAGTAATCAAAAGAAATAATCCATGGCTGTCACAGCACACTTTATTGATGATTCATGGACATTACAAAGTCGCATTTTGAGGTATATATTTGTAAATTTGCAATTCATTTAAAAATTCTATCTTATTCAGTTCAATTTGCATGTTATTAATAATTGTTCATGAATATTGTATTTTAAGTTTATTTATGTTCCATGTCCACACATAAAAGAAGTTCTTTGTGATACTTTGCTTGAGTGTATGATGGACGGGAATATTGACAGAAAAATCTCTACTATTACTGTTGATAATTACTCCACAAATGATGTCATGATTACCATGTTGATGGATAAGTTGAGTAATACATCGCTTTTGTTGGATGATACTTTGTTTCATATGCATTGTTATGCGCATATTTTGAATTTGATTGTCAAAGATGGACTGGATGTCATACGAGTGGATGTAAACAAAATTCGAGAAAGTGTAGCTTATTAGACAGCGACACCTAAAAGACAAGAAAAATTTGAAGAAACAGTCAATCAATTGCGCAATCCACATACTAAGAAATTAGGACTCGATTGTGTAACTGGGTAGAATTCAACATACTTGACGTTTCAAACTGGCTTATTATATAAGAATGTCTTTTCTTGGTTGAAAAATAGAGAGCCCTAATATAAGACCGTGCCAAGTGAAAAAGAATGAGAGTTTGCTAGAGAAATTAGTGGGAGGTTTAAGATTTTTTTTTCTATTACAAAATTATTTTCTGGTACTAAGTATCCCACAGCCAATGTTTGTTTCTCAGCTTTATGTGAGATTAGGATGACACTGTCTCAATGACTCTCTTGTGAAATTGAAGTGGTTAGAACAATGACATCAAAAATGTGGAAAATTTTGATAAATATTGGTTAGTGATACATGGTGTTATTGGAGTTTCTGTTGTACTTGATCCTAGGTACAAGATGAGTATATTGGAAGTTTATTTTGAAAAATTTTATGGAGACAAAGCTGAAGAGAAAATTGATAAGGTTCGTTAAATTTGTTATGATTTGTTGTAAGAGTATTAGAACCGAGTTGGTATGGAGACCGATGTTGTTGCTGAATCTTTTATCCATCCAGAAATTATTACAGAGACTCTTTCGGAGTATGATTTGTTTATTAGTAGAAAGAGAAATAAAAAAATGAAGAATGTAAAATCAGAATTGGACCATTATCTAGACGATAATGTTTTGCCAAGAACTTTAAGTTTTGATGTTTTGAATTAGTGGAAAACCAATGGACCAAAGTATCCGACCTTACAGGCAATAGTTAGGGATATTTTAGCTATTCCTGTATCCATCGTTGCTTTTGAGTCAGCATTTAGGACTAGTGAAAGATTAGTGAGTCCACATCATAGTAGACTTCATCTAAACGCATTAGAAGCATAATGTGTGCACAAAGTTTGCTGTGAGCTGCAGAGATAAAAGGTACTCAAGTAAATATACATTTTATTATTTCAATTTTATATTACCATAGAATAATTTCAATACTTAATTTATATTCTTTGCTTTTTAGGAAATTCAACATTGTAATCGGTGGGCTATGCGACTATATATGATGATGATGAGATCGACTTGGATGAGTCATGTGGCACTTTTGTATTAGTTGCCATCTTTTTTATTTTAATTGTTAACATTTTTTACATCTTATTATTAATATTATTATTTTTTTCCTTTCGTTATTTAACAAAAATTCAAGTTGAAGGAGACGCTGAAAATTGTATTATATCAAATTTTTGGAGAAACAATATTGTTTTATTGTGGGTTGAGTGATTTAGAATATATTGTGTGTGTGAGATTAGTTGTCCATGTTGTATTTTGATTCAATACTCATGTGGAGTTATGTTCACAGGTCTTCCTAATCCTGTGGGAGATGGTGTGAGTGCTGCTTTTGACAAAGGGGTTAGGCTATATCTGTGCGCCAATTCGTATTTGCTGCTTCCTGTAAGGAATCTTGTTCTATTTTGTCATTGAGTTTTGTGGCTACTAGCTTGCTAGGTAGTTCAAACCTGTGGCATTGTATAAAGATCTGTTATTTAACTGTTCAATTTTTTTATATTGTAATGGATTTGGTTTTTTTTTTGGTAGCTTATCCCTTGCGGGCTGTGTTAAGGACTTTCTTTTCTCTTTGCAACTTGCTCAATTCTCCTTTGTGTGGAGCTTGAATAGGTTATGGTTTCTAAATGGATGGAATATAGGGTTGCTGTAAATATTTTTGAGTAGTGGCAGTGTGGCTATTCCAAATAATCATGTTGAAGAATTTTGAGAGGGTTGTTGCAATTGTTATGTGGTGTGGATTGGATTGTTGTACATGTGTGTTGTTATGCTGCTGTGGCCTAGGCTCTTTTGAAGTGGTTTTGCTATGCTACTGTTTTGTAGATTGGGCTGTTATATCTTATTACGGATGTACTGGATCTGTTCAGGGATTTTTCAGGGTCAGAGAAATCTGATCCCCGTTAGGGGGCGGGGACGCAGACTGGAGGGAGGGGCGATGGGTTCCCTGCCGAGGATCAAGACGGGGGTGGAGAATTTAGCACCTTCAGGTATTGAGGACGGATAGTGTAATCTCTGGCCCCGTTCCGTTGCCATTCCTATTTGTTTACACCATCCTCACAACGACTTAGAACTACGCAACAACCTAGGATTTGTCTAGGATTTTCCTCATGAATAATCCGGTTGCCAATCCTTTTTTGCTTCATTACTTGACATTCTTTGCAGTATTGATAGACGTACATGGATGCAAATAGTAAGACAAAGTTCACTCATTTGAAGGATATAGATGGTAGTAATTTCAATATTGCAGAATTGGGAAATTGATGGGTTATGATCAATGTCATCATGTTATAAGCCACTTTGAATTCAGTACTCTATGAAGCCTAATTTTCATTCATTGCTTTTTTTCCCTGCTACATTGGTTTTGATTGATCATGTACACTGGTTGGTTTATTGGGTATAAAATTTGTGGATGTGTATGTGTTTCTATTAAACTTTCTTGTTTTGAGGACTTTTACGCTGCGTTTAGTTAGGAGATTTTGAGAGGAATTTGAAAAGGAAAAGGAAAAAATTAGGTGAAATGTGAATAAACTATACTTACATTTTACTTAATTTCACACATTTTTTCTTTTTCTTTTTTGAAAATCCCTTTCTAAATCTCACAACCAAACATAGTGTTAGTTGCAGTTAAATCATGACTAAGCAGTGTTCTATAATTTGATTATAATAGGTTTTTTTTTTTTTACAAAACAAAGCAAAGGGTTGGTGCTGGAATTGCTCAGTTGATCATTTGATCATTTCATATAATTCTGGTAATCAAATTTACATGTTCTACAAGTTCCATATTCTGGGGACGTTTAGCTGAAGGGTTTTTATTTTATTTATTTATTTATTTTGTCGGCTTCAGTTGTGTTTGGTTTGAGTTTTCTAGATTAAATTTTTTGAAAATTGAGTTTTTTTATTTTCGTGTTTTTTTGTTTTTAGTGAATATTTTTAAAATTTTAAACATTTTTTTTTACTTTTTTAGATGCACCTTACTTAGATGTGTCTAAAAAGTAAAAAAAATTGTGAAAAAATATTTTAAAAAATTAAGAAATACATAAAAATACAAAAAATGTACTAAATTCTTGTATTTTTTTTTATATTTTTGGTATTTAGTGAATTTTTAAAATATTTTTTTTACAATTTTTTTACTTTTTAGGTGTATTTATGTTAGGTAATAGGTGTGTCTAAAAAGTAAAAAATTTACATAAAATATTAAAAAAATTCAGTAAAAATAAAAAATACGAAAAATAAAAGTGTAGAATTTTCTGAAAACTATTTTTAAAAAATGAGAACCAAGCAATAGTTTTTTGGGCTATCAAATCCTAGCAAAGTGGTGGTGCTGCAATAGCTTAGATGGCTAGAGCGTGTGGCTATTAACCACAAGGTCGAAGGTTCGAGCCCCCCCGTCTCCCGTTTAATTTTAATTATATTCTTCCATATTTTATTTAAAACATAAATTGCATAAATTATTAATTAAATTATTATAAAATATCGGAGACCAAATGTTGTGTTTTGAACTTCAACCATCATGTATTTTTATGACTTTTTCCATTTTGGTATTCATTTTTCAATTTATTTCTAAAGTTAGTTTATATTTAAAATTAAATAAAAAATGTCTTATTAGCGGTCACATAACATAAAAATAAATTATTATTGGTATTCATGTTTTAAGTTTTTTTTTTAATTTATTTCAAAAGTTAATTTATGTTTAAAATTAAATAAAAAATGTCTTGTTAATTGTCACATAATATAAAACTAAATTATTACATTAAGGTTTGGGTTTGTGTTAAAGGTGTGAGTTATATAATAAAATATTTTATATCACGTGATAGTCAATGTATCATTTTCTATCAATTTTTGGGCATAAATTAATTGTTAGAGTAAATTAGAAAAAAATTAAAACATAAAGGGTTAAAGTAAAAAATAAATAAATTTTGAAGGTTAAAGTAAAAAAAAAAAGATCAAATATAAAAATTGGGGCAAATGTTACAAGATAAATAATGTTAAAGGGGCAAAGTGGAATTTCTCTTTATTTTTGTAATGGATAATGAGGCAAATGTTACAAGATAAATAATGTATATGTCGGACAGAACAATTGGCCTAGTAGTCCATGTAATTGGTTCTTAAAACAGTAAGAAGATCAAAGATTTAAGATCCAAATCAATAGAGCGATTGCAAATCTTTCATTGTAATCTATAGTATGGCCAAAAAAACAAGAGTTAAAAATTATTTTCAAAAATTTTAAGAATTAAAACTAATTTGTACCAATTAAACCAAGGAAAATTTATATATAAATCCTATCTTAAATAATGGTGATCCGTTTAATCCTAAGAATTTTTTTATAAACGAATTAGTCCCATTAATTTTGAAAAAATAGACTTAATATATTATTTGAAAAATAGATTTACGGTTATGCCTTTTATTTATTATATGTCCTTCTTTTTCTTTTCTTTTTTTTTTTTCTTTTGTGCTAGAAAGATAAGATACACAACTTATAAGAATCCAATTTGGGCTAAATTTTTAAATGAGAATATTTTTTTATTTAGAAGGACTTGAAATGTGAGATTTTTCAAATATTTCAAAATGAGTACAAAAATGATTTAAAATATTAGATTTTTCAAACATTTCAAAAAGATGTAGGATTCTTCAAACATTTCAAAATGAGTACAAAAATTTTTTAGTAAGTTTTGGATAAATGTATAATTTCAAACTGTAACACTCATAAAAAAAATTCCTTTGTATTCTTTTTTTCAAATGTAATACTCTAATACAACACTTTAAAAAAATTCCTTAGCATAACATTCCAATAACATACAAAAAAACCCCTTAGTGTATTTTTCTCAAACATAACATAACTCAAATGTAACACTCTAAAAAAACTTCCTTAGCATAACATTCCAATAACATACAAAAAAACCCCTTAGTGTATTTTTCTCAAACATAACATAACTCAAATGTAACACTCTAAAAAAACTTCTTAGGGTAACGCTCGAATGTAACACACAAAAAAACTCCTTAGTATACTTTTTCCAAACATAACTCTAATGTAACACTCAAAAAAAAAAAACTCCTTAACATAATACTCTAACGTAATACACAAAAAATAAACTTCTTAATGCACTTTTCTCAAATGTAACACTCTAATATAATACTCTAATAAACTCTTTAAGGTAACGCTCTAATACAACACAAAAAAATTTCTTAGTGTACTTTTTCCAAATGCAACACTTCAATATAACACTCTTAAAAAACTCTTTAGTGTAACGCTCTAATGTAATACACAAAAAAACTCTATAGTATACTCTTTTCAAATGCAACACTCTAATGTAACACTCCAAAAAACAGATGTGAGATTCTTTAAACATTCCAAAAATGATGTAGGATTCTTCAAACTATTCCAAAAGGATTACAAAAGTTTTTTAGTAAGTTTTGGACAAATGTATAATTTCAAATTGTGAGTATTACGCATGAAAAAAGTACACTAAAGAATTTTTTAATATTTTTGTGTATGTTATATTGAAGTGTATTACATTTGAGTGTCACATTTGGGATTACATTAATTGAAGTGTTATGTTTGAAAAAAGTACAATAAAGAGCTTTTTCATGTGTTATACTGGAGTGTTACATTTGAGAAAAATACACTAAATTTTTTTTGGGAGTGTAACGTTGTTAGGTTTAGGAAAAATATACGAAGGAGTTTTTTTTTAAGTGTTACGCTATTATGTTTAGAAAACTACACTAAGAAGTTTTTTAGTATATTATATTGGAGTGTTACATTAATGGAATGATACGTTATTGGACTGTTACATTATTAGAGTGATACGTTATTGGAGTGTTAAATTATTAGAGTGTTATGTTTTTATTCGTAATGTGAGATTTGTTTCAGAATAAGGGAAAATCTAATACTTTTATAGTGCGAATTGCCTAAATGTGTAATTTCACATTTAGAGAATCCTACTTTTATCCCTTAAAATTAAACCCAAATGGATAAGTGACTATCCTTTTGTGTAATTTCTATTTTAATAGGGCCTAAGTGTTCATATGAAAAGAGAAAGGAGTAAACAGTTCAGAAAATCACATTTTAAAATTTATTGATGCTTTACCCTTAAACCAAATAAATTCAAATAAATTATTTTTAACCATCAAAATAAATAAATGAAAATTTGAAAACTGCCCCTTGTAATAAGAAATTACATCATAACTGCCCCTTTTAATTTTTAACTTCGTTTGGCAACATAATTTTTAGTTTAAAAGCTAAAAAGGCACTAAAAAAATAAATAAACCAACAACTTATACTAAAAAGTCAAATATTTCATTTTCTCTCTACTTTTTATATATTTTTTCGTAAAAAACTAAAAAGTTATCCCAAACATATTAGTTTTTTTTACACACTACAAGAAAAAGCACCTTTGGCGACTAAAAAGTCGACTTTTCACTTTCCCCAACTAAATATTTTAGTCGCCGGTTTTGTCGCGAATACATGGTCGCCGGAGGTATTGGCAACTAAAAAAGTTTTAGTCGGCAAAAAACAGGTCTTTAGCGACCAAAGCTTTTGTCGCCAATAGTCAATTACATTTTTGAAAATTATACATTTAGCAACTAATCTTTCAGTCGCCAATAGTGAATTATTAAAAATTACCCTCTGCTGTTCCCAAGTTTCGAACCACCAATCTCCCACATTCTAAACCTTTAGCAACACACCCTCCCCACTATGCAAATATAAATGCAACATATATTATTTATATAGTATATTGACCGGTATTAATACAAAACTATATATATATATAAATAATTATTTTTATTTAATATAATTTATGTAAAAAATAAATTATTTACTAAAAAAAATAGGAGACCACTTTTGGCGACTAAAGCTATTTTTTAGTCGCCAATTCTATACTTTTTGGCTACTAATTACTTTTTTGTCGCTAAAAGAATTAATTCCCGCCTAAAACCTCCACTTTTGGCAACTAAACTGAATTTTAGTCGCCAATTGCTGACTTTTAGCTACTAAATATTTTTTAGTAGCCAAAAAGCTTCACTTTTGGCTACGAAATTTTTTTTTGGTCGGTAAAGCACGTATAATCGGCGACCAAACTATTTTTTAGTCGCCAAAACCTATACTTTTGGCTACTAAATGTTTTTAGTCACCAAAACATTGACTTTTGGCTACTAAAATTTTTTTAGTCGCTAAAACCCATATAATCGGCGGCTAAACTGTTTTTTAGTTGCCAATAACTATACATTTGGCTACTAAACTGTTTTAGTCTATTTTAGTCGCCGATAGTGCTACTTTCAGCGACGAAAATCTTTTTTTAGTCGCCCTTTGTGCTTTTTGTTGTAGTGACATTATATTTTAACCAAAAAATCAAAAAGTTACTAAAAAAACATGTTCCCAAACGAGGCCACTAAAAAATTGCTTTTAGGAAAAATAAGTAAATGAAAAATTAAATCAAAAATTACATCATAACTGTCCCTTTTAATTTAATAACATTTACACACAAATCCTAATTTATAAATTTATATTCTATTAAATCTTAACTAAAATTTTTTAGACATTCAAGTCTTATTAAATTTTTAATAGTCGGAATTGTCCTTTAAATAATGATTATTCATTATTTATGATTATCTATAAAGGAATATGATGATTTGACATTTATTTTGATTTTAAAAATTTTAAAACATCAACTTTCAAATTGAAAAAACTAAAAACAAAATTATGTGCCAAAAAAAAATTTGAAAAAAATGAATTTTTTTTATGCAAAACAGAAAATTTTGTATCTATAAAGAAGCATGATGATAAAACATTGATAGGCAAAACTTAAAAAAAAATTAAAAATAAAAAAATTGATAATCATTACAACATATAAGAGTTTTAGAAACCAAATATTTTGGTCTCTAAAAGTGAAAATTTGCTGCAAAAGACATTTAGGGACCAATTTTCACCGTTATGAGGATAGTTGCTAAAATGTTGTCTTGAAAAGTAAAAAATAAGGCTTTTAGCGACAAAATTTTGAAAATGTCACTAATAAATAGACTTTTAAGGATAAAATAATTTGGTCTCAAAATGGTTTACTTTTTGAGACAAAAAATTTAATCTCAAAAGTATAATAATTCATCACTAATGTCCAATTTTTATTGCTAAAAATATATTAACGACACTTTTTGTAACAAAATTTGTCACGACCCGAAATAGGGGCTAATCGGAATCGCGACCGGCCAACGCCTCATCTCGCACCCTAGGTCTGCTACTAACTAGTTTAGAGAACAAATAAATAAATCATCGCAAATACTAGGTGATTACATTTAACTAGAGCGTTGCTATATAAGTCATACAAGTCATAAAGGAAAGTTAAGTTACAACAATAACTTGGCCCTATGCCAACAAAAGAGGTAATATATGACTTATATAAAACTATAGGTTTAAAATCCATCACAGGCCACGAGACACCACAAAAATAGGTCTTTGGTTATCCACTAAGCATTCTCCTTACCTGAAATGGGTTAGTAACACACCCATGAGCTATAAAGCTTGTGAGAACATACTTACACAATTTACAAGTTTGCCACGGTTCAAACATAAATATCTCAAGTTTCAAGCATAACTGTTCATGTTCAAAAGCTCAATGGCTGAAAAGACAAAATAAATGCTCTTATATATATATATATCAAAATATACATACATATGTCTATTCGACTGGATATGTTGCCAGAGAAGTAGGGAGCTATCCATACTAATATCAAGCAGTCATGATCATGCCAAGGGACGATGGTCGCGTCCCAACAACCACCCTTATAATGCCTCACCCGTTGGTATTTTTAATTTCCCCCAACGTCTGGGATGTTCCGTTCGAATGTACGTTATTACATTTGCAAGAGTTTTATAACAATGTCTTAACCATGGCTTCATAATAAACAATATGTACATAAGCAATACGTGTGAGTCGGCTTATCCCGTTAGCTCACGTTTTTTAAAACATAACATGATTTTCAAAATGTATTCAAGGTACTTTTTCAATCATAGGCATACTTGCTAAAGTTCAAAATCATAGGTTTATTCGGTTGTTCATAAATCAATGCAATCTCATGCTCCAAAATAATTCATCGATCAAAGCATGTCATTATATTCAAATACGTGTAAAAAGCATAAGCATGAACTCACCTAAATGTATACGAAGTTTGGTAAAATCAACCGGAACCGAGATCTAAACACAATGCATGAAAAGCTACATTATAGTAAGTCTAGGAATTAATTCTAAGCATGAAATAAATATTCAAACTATAATCCCAAAGTGTACAATTTAAAAGGGGTCTTTCTCTTATGGTCCAGAAATTCTTAGTTTGCAGCACTTTAGATCAAAGGCTAATATCCTAATCAACACATTTTAAAATATTCTGAAATTTTACGGGATTATCAATCAAGATGTTATGAAACTTTTTCATGGGGACTCGTCTCCCAAAAATGCTCATAAACAGGGTAAAATGGCAGTAAAACAAAGCTGATTCAGATCCGTTGCAGTTTCTAAAAAATATTTTCCACAACAATCTAGCCGTTGGATCGAGTTGAAACAAATTGGGTTGGAAAGATAACACTCTAATTTAACTTTGGTCCAAAAATCAACCGTTAAAGTGGCCTAAATAGTTTTTGACGAATTTTCAAAGTAAACTGTTTGTTCAGGAAAAAAAAAAAACTATTTGTTGGGTAAAATCCTTGTTTTAAGCTTTAGCCTCATGGTTCATTGCAACATGATATCAATGGGAGGAAATAAAGTCTAAATCTGTGTTTTAGGATTTAGATTCATGGTTCATTGTAACATGAAATCAAAGGAAAGAAATGAAGGCTTTAACTTATGGAATTGAAGTAGATATAGAGAGGAATTTACCTAGACTTGAAACTTGAAGAACAATGATGAAAGTGTTTGATTTTCTCTCTTAAATCTACAGATTTTCAGCAAGAAGATGAAGTTTCTGCACATATAGGATATATATAGGAAGAAAGGGGTAGGTAGGATCAATGGCTAGGTTTGAATGGTGAAGTATGTGGTAAAAAGGGGAGTGGGGTGGATATATCTTTCACCTCACCAAGAAATTATAGCCATGGTGGCTAATTTTACCACCACAAATTGCACTGCTCGGATAAAACGCAGTGCGCGGACATCCGGGTTGTCCGAAAATCGATTCAAGAAAAATTTCATTTAATCACCATTGACTAATTTCGACATTCTGACTTCGATGGTGTGATCCGTTTCGCCTAAAGAAAAAAAAATATACATCTTTATGGGGTTCATTTTTGACACACTCGAAGAGGATTATCCATTATTGTTCTGTTATAGGTCCGCCCTGGATGGTGAAATATAAATAATATTTATTAACATGACATTGATGAACTAATTAAATATGAGATTTGACCTCCGTTCATTGACGGTGTCAAACAAAAGGGAAAAAGTTGGGTTGGGACTTCACAAAATTATTTAGCCTTTAAAAAAAAAATTTGTCCCTAAATTTTGATCCGTAAAACTTTAATTTTTTGTAGTGAATGTTGTTAGCTTTAAAACTAAAAAAAATGATAATGTTTTCTATTTTATTGAATAGTTGAATCAAATCAATAAGTAAAAGGGAAAAAAACGTTTAATCTCATGCTCCGTTTTCCCCCCTTCAATTAGTGAAACAATTATTTAAAATATTACTATATAAAATTAATAATATTCTTACTTTTAAAAATTTAAAAAAAAATTAATCACTATGCTTGGTTATCATTTTTCAAAAACACTTTTCAGAAAATTTTACTTTCTTATTTTTCGTATTTTTTTTGTTTTTACTGAATTTTTTTAATATTTTGAGCAAATTTTTTAATTTTTAGACATATCTAACATAAATATACCTAAAAAGTAAAAAAAAAATTGAAAAAACCTTTTAAAAATTCACTAAATACCAAAAATATAAAAAAAAAATACGAGAATTCAGTGCATTTTTTATATTTTTATGTATTTATTAATTTTTAAAAATATTTTTTCATAAATTTTTTACTTTTTAGATACATCTAAGTGAGATGCATCTAAAAACATAAAAAAATATATTTAAAATTTTACAAATATTCACTAAAAACAAAAAAAATACGAAAATCAAAAAATTCAATTTTCAAAAAACTTAATTCAAAAAATTCAAACCAAACACACTGAATAATATTTTTAATTTTCTATTTAAACTTATTTATTTAAAGAATCTTAAAACTTGAGTTACCCTAACGTTTGTAAATGAGGTTTTTAGGTTTCTTTAATTTTTGAATTATTTAACTGAAAAGCTGCTTTTAGGAAAACCCCAAACAGAGTCTTTAATAAAGCCTCCTAACTCAAGGAGAATCAATCTAGGACCAGCATACTCTCTCTCTCTCCAATGGATCGAGGTCAGATGATTCTGCTAGGCTTACCTCTCTTTCTCTTCTTCTCAGATATCTTCAACCTCTTCGTACCTCAACCACCTCCTCCTCCCAAGCCCAATCACCATCACCACCACCACCATCACCCAAACCCACCTCAACCTGTTGTCCCTCAAACCCTAGATTTTCCTACTCAGGTCAGTCCCCAAATCAATTTTTTCATTTTAATTTTTTTGATTTTTTTTTATAATTGGAATTTATTATTGTTCGTTCTTTCTCCATATGCAGAAATCAAGCGGAATCGGAGCGATCGGCGTTGGAAACACCATCAACATCAACTTTTGCTCTTCTTGTTCCTACAAGTTTCTTACTTCTTTCCCTCTTCTACTATAATTGATTACATGTATACATGTATATATATGTGTGTGTTCAGTGATTTATGTTTGGTTTCCCAGTTTATGTTATAGTGATTTACTATTAAACTAAGTAAACACCATGAACTGATGAATTAGCTGGATCATTGATTATGAGTGTAATTTTGATGTCTTGGTGAAGGAATTTCATCACATTGATTATTGGGTTGGCTTTAGAAATTGAATTTGTTGTGAGTTTTTATTATTTAGGTTCAGTTGAAGTGCCTTAAGGACAAGGAGGCCAAAAAAAAAAAATAAATTGAATTGTGGTGATGGGAGACAGGGATGGTAAAATTACCCGACCCAGATGTATTTGTCTCAATCCTAAAAAAAGGTTTGGCATAACAATGATAGGGTAGGGTAAATTATAGGGATAGGAAGGTCAAAATTGTTAGGATTAGAGTAAAGTATGAAATTGTATCACTAAAATAGTTGAGTTTAAAACTAAGAATTTGCGCGTGAAACCTTAAATAAGGGTTTCTATGTATTTGAGTTGCTTTTGTGTACTTGTCGTTACTTTTCCGCATACTTCTGTGCTTGGGAGCTTCTTATTATGCATCCGTGAACTCAAATTTTTTTCTCAATTTCCATGCAGATTGTAGTTTATGGTTAATTTATTTTAATTGTATTTTTAGGTTATGACTTTTAACTAGAGATTATAACATACTGTAATTTACTTCATCAGTTTGTGATTTATTTGGAATAACTTGTAGTTCATGTTGATTTTGGCAGAGGGAATGCAGTCACGATGAAAACTATGCTGGAAACTGCGTTCCCTGGCATCAATGTTGTTCTAGCAAATTACCCCCCTCCTCTCCCAAAACGCCTGCTGGGCAAAGTTGTACCTGTGGTTCAATTTGGAGTAATTGGTATTGTGATGGCCGGTGAGCAAATTTTTCCAAGGTTGGGCTTTATGGCTCCTCCTCCTTGGTACTACTCCTTGCGTGCAAATAGATTTGGAACCATTTCATCTACTTGGCTTCTCGGGAATTTCCTTCAATCTATGCTGCAAAGTTCTGGTGCTTTTGAAGTGTACTGTAATGGTGAATTGGTAAGTTATTTTCTCTCAAGTTATGTTCTTAACGTGAGCTTTTAGCTGATTAAATGTGCTTTGCTAATGAAAATCTTCATACTAAATAGAATGCAAGCTTTCTGGAGAAACCCATGAACCTAATATTGGTTGACTACCATCACAATCTGTAGTAATGCATGTGGCTCATTGTTTTAGTGCCTGGAACAACCTCAATTTTTAAAGGCATAAACCCTGATTTTTTGTTTCTAATTTTTGTGGCAACCTTGCAATAGGAACTCTTGCATGTCTAATCCAAGTGGATCGGATTTGGCCTAAAACCTAGATTTTGGGGCAAATGTTCTTTTGTGTCCTTCGACGGTTAGAGAATGCTTTTGTGCTTTTTTCTAAGTGGTATATTAGGAGCTATTCTTCCTTGCCATCACAATTTGTCACATCTTAATCGAATCAGTTAAGGTCAAAGCTTTTGTGCTTTTTTCTAAGTGGTATATTAGGAGCTATTCTTCCTTGCCATCACAATTTGTCACATCTTAATCGAATCAGTTAAGGTCAAAGCACATTGGAGCACATTATATGCAATCATACACAGTTAAATTAAGTTCATTAAAATTGTGCATGCTTATCTATTTTTATTTTATTCTTTAACCTCTAGGGAGTTTTTTATGTTTTCTCTGCTCCATCTCTGTGGACAGCAGCAAAGCATGTATTGTACCTTGCCTAGCCTTTCCATTAGGTTTATTTTTGATGTCATTTTTGCCATCTTGAACTTCCTTAAACAATGGCGATAATCCTTGTGTTGAAATTCCAAATAAGTAGCAATCTTTATTGAAGTTTGCATTCTTGTGTCCTATAGAGTGTTTTTTGTTTTTGTTTTTACACTCTCTTATTCTTTCTTCTTCTTGAACATGTTCATGTCCTGTAATTGAGAAATGAGTTGACTTTTCTTCTGAAGCGAGTGTTGTTCTGCCATCTTGTTATTTTCACCTCTTCTCAAACAGGACTCTCAATGTGCTTGCTTAGATTGAAACACATCTGATGATTGACAATTTGTTAATTGTTTCCTTGCCTGTGTCAGATAATTTCTCATTTATATGAAATTTCATTCATATAAATTAAAAAGTTTAATGAAGCATGGTGGTGTCATTTGCAGTTTTTGTTTCCTTTGAAGAACTTCTCTCACCCGATGTTGTACACCTGTTTTTATCATGCACAATGCAGGTTTTCTCAAAGCTAAATGAGAAGAGATTCCCTAGTGAAATTGAATTGAAGGATCTCATTGGCAGAAGGATTGCTAATTCAAGAATTATCGATTCCGACATCGGGGGAGCTCTCTGGTAATAGTGCTCCATAGAAAGAGACAAGGTGAAGGGTTTCGGGTTTTTAGTAGTTAAAGTGCCATTTAGATCCAGCAAAAGACTAATAGTATGTTATGGAACTTCAGAATTTTAATAGGAATAACGCCAAATGGAAGAAATGGTGCTTCTGTGGTTGTACGTGGAGTTAGTATTTTGTCATCATCCAAGGCATTTAAATGTGGGAATTTGGTTTTCAGATCTATATAAAGATTTTGCTTTGCTTCTTTGATTTGTCTGTTAGTCCTTTATTAGTTTTCATTTCATTATTTTTTCCCCAACATTTTGTTCTCTCTCCCTTTGTTTATGGACTAGTATTGTGTGCCATTTAAGCCATTTTCTTTGGCCTTTTAAAAAAAATAAAAATTAAAAAAAAAAACTTCAAATTTAAGCTAAGTTTGGCATCTTTAATAAAAGTCAAAAAGTCATTATCCTATTTAAGTCACATCATCTCTCTATCATATCACTTCAAACTCAACCTATATTTCATAAAAAATTAAAAAATATATATTTTTTTTAACATCCCAAACTTCTAGATTAAAAATCTGTAAAAATGTAAGCAAATTGGATCAAATGATGCAGTTACAGGTAGTATGGTCCCATGAAATAGGTAGATATTGATATAGATCTGATTGCTTGAACAAACCTAGACTTAAATTCAACAAAAAAAAGTAACAATTTTTGGTGTGCTCACGTCACTGTTTTTCTATATTTAAGAGAGAGAGAGAGAGATAGTCAAATTGGTTAAAATTTCAAAACATGCCACCAAAAAAATACAACAATAAAAAGCATCATTAACAATTACTAAATTGTAAGAGTTGAATACATTCACATTGTCAAATGTGAGTAATGATTCATCCCCCCTTTTTCCCCCACCCCCTTTGACCCCCTCTCTCTCTCATTGGTTACCTTTTCTTTTTCTTTTTCTTTTTTTTCCTGCTCCACCAATCACCCCTGCCACGTGGCAAAGGGGGGTGAGGGGGTGACCCCCAAAAGGGGGTCCCAAGCATTATTCGTCAAATGTATGGGAACCAAAAAAATTAATACACAGTAATAATAACTCAATGAGGAATAATAAAAAAAAGTTCAAATACAAGAAATCAAGCAATATTGCTAATGGTATAACAAAGAAAATGTAGCGGCCTCTCTGCTCCAAAATTCTCCACAAGGTGGTTACTCAATCAACCTACTTCATTTTCTGATGAGATGTGATGAGTGTCTTGATCCTGAACGCCTCAAAAAATTCAAAACCTTTGTATGAACCTGCTAGGGTTCTGTCCTAGTTGCTGACTTCAATGAAGCCTCCCCCGATCATCAAGCAGGACAAATCACAATAGACAAGGAATTCAAACAAAGAAAACAACATACTAAATCAGTATTCATATCTGCCACCATTTCCGGCTTTCCATAGCCTTTACAAGTTCATTTGCCAGTGACGCAAAGTCTTCAGCTCCACTTTGCAATTCTTCAGTTCGCCTGCTAATCCTCTGGCGGAAGTAACAAGAGTTTGATTAGAGAAATTGACATGCTAAGTAGTATGGAGAATGAAAAATAAATAAATAAATAAAGTAAATAAAGGTGTCAATAACTTTGTGTTTGACTTACAATTGAAATTCAATACGAGTCTTCAATATTCTTACAACATGACTCGATCAAAGGTTTATTTGTCACTAACATCAACATAGTGGCCATTTTCACAAAGTGAACGTTTGATGCTATGAAATTAATTTGTGTGTCATCCAAGAAGTGTATCCATGTACATAAGTGAGGAATGTCCCACCAATATCCCATTACCACAAGCAGTAACACAACCATCTCTGCCAGTAACTCCATATTGTTCTCTCCTCTTCCACAATTATAAACAACATCCGTTGAAGTATTTTATTCCTTCATTTTCTTTTCTTGTTCCCTTCCCTCATTCCTCCTAGGAACCTAATTGTGCAAAATGTATTAATTGAATAGATACCAAGGCAGTTCCATAGGCTATCCTACCTCAAGTTTTTCTTGGCGCTCTAGAAGCTTGTTTCTTGCTTGTCCAGCCGCTGAAGAGGCATCCTGAAATCAACAGGTGAAATAGCACCATCAGTTAGAATAGCTGCTGGAAGATTTTTGTATTTAATTATTTAATTAGTGCCAACTGTCAAATTACCCCAGCTTTTCTATATGTAGCCATAATTTCTTCAGGTGTTCTACGTCTGGGCTGTATATCAGCACTTGCACCATCAAGTAATTTTTCTCTTTCACCATCCTTTTCTGCAGAACAAAATGAATAAAATTTATCCATTAATATATTCATCACAATATACATCCTTAAGTAGACATTACACCATACCTCTCTGATTTCTTTGTGGTTTATTTGTTGAAGTAGATGCCAAGGACACTGGTTCATCAATTTCAATGTCATCTGTATCAAAACAAAAAAAATTGCAGTTAAAGATGTATAGCATAAATGGGAGAACTTGTATTTTTGAAATAGAGATAGACCAGACCTATATTAAGTTCAGTAGCTTCCGGATTATCCATCATGATTGAAGATGGATCTGGGAATGGGTTCCTCGAAAAGACACCCTCTAGATGACTATAGTTAGATGTAGAAGCAAGAGTACCATCATTTGTATGGTTCACTTTTCCCCCCTTGAAACCCTTCACAATACTGCCTAGAATCCTTGGGGCAGTACCCTGTAGCACCACAGAGATAAGCAACAGAAGCAAAACCATAGAATGTCACAGGATACATATAAGAAACCAGTATCATTTATTTAAACCTGTTTTTTCTTCTGATTGAAAGAAAAACTAATGGCAGCCTCTGCCGCAGCTGCAAGCACGTTATCATGAAGAGAAGGCAAAGATTCTGGAATCCTATGACAATAAATGTAGTCCGTTAAGTATATTTTTAATTAACCCATCCAAAACAATAGTACATTCGACTACATGACATAATAGCCCAAGCCACTTAACACAAAATGATACCTGAAACTATTTTTGCATGCTAACAGAGTGATGAAAGCCAATTCACACCCATTTGCCTATGAGAATAAAAATCAATATTAGACAGAAATCATCACATAAGTTATTCCATGTAAAAGACATTTAAAAACAGTATTCTAAACATGGTTTATGCTAAATTTATCCAATGCAGCATGAGAAGTTTCTTGAAAATTCACTTTGTATTAAACATGACCCGCATGGCTGCATCTTTTAATTGTTACAACCAACATATGTAAGAATATTCCATAAACAAATACCAGTGTAATCAGCCCATTGTCTGTAGAACTCATTGTCTTTCCCATGTTTGCCTTGAAATTCCACCTTAAAATTGACATTAAGGAGCTTTCTTTCACCAAGTCTAAGTCTGGAAAAGATCTGCCCAAAAACAGGTATCACTACAACCATCACCGACAAGTTGGTGTTTTACTCAAATATGCTAACACAGAGAGAGAGAGAGAGAGAGAGAGAGAGAGAGAGAGAGAGATGCAATTGCTGCTGCTATAATCGGAACTATTTGGAAGTTCTTGTAACAAGTTAAAACATAAATTGGTAACAAATTGGAATTTTACCTGATCTCTACATCTCCAGTCTCATAGACTAACACCAGGCCACAAACTTTCTCATCTTTCTTAAAAATAGTAATCCAGCAACAAGGTTTTGCAAGTTTCACTTTACTGATAGATTTGTTCTCCCCCTAAAAAGTTAGTATACAAGTATGTAAACATTTGAATGATTCAATCGGATGTGAGAAAAAAGAAGGCAATAGACTCACCTGAACCACAGACTTCGTATGGTATAATCGCAGTGTATCCTTGCAACAAAACAAAGCAAGAGAATCGTTTTCATGTTTATCAATGCCACTGGAAGTAGTGTCTTGAGAAGTCTCATTCCTGGCATCAGCATCCTTCTGTGGTTGCTTTTTATTGGATAAACCAGAGACTGCTACATTGCCCTCTGATTACAAAAATAAAATAAAATAAAATAAAATTGTAACTGCTGTTCAAACAGAATATTTATCTCAGGACTCATATGGATAAGACTCATACTTGCCTATAACATACATGGAAATTGCTGTGGAGTCCTTTTTTAAGTGCATTGGCCGAGAGCTGATCATGATACCACTACCACCATTAATGATATAAACTTTTGCATCCTTTGTTAATACGAATATTAGTTCCTCTACAGGGTTGTCTGCAATATTTGATCCTGAGTTCTTTGGGCTTCTAACATGACCATTAGTGTTTGCAACTGTTTTCCATGTCACCGAAATAACTGGTGAGCTAGGGGCAGACACACTGTCTGTTAAACACAAAACTGATAATGACCTCATATCAAGCACTGCAACCTGAAATGGAGAAACTAATACTGACTGTCATTGTCAAGCAAGAAAAAGGTGAAATCACAAGCCAATGGCCTCAAACTTATTGAAATTAAACAGAAAAGTTCTTATACTTACACGACCACAATCATAACCTGCAGCAAGTTTGGCTCCACAACTTGTAAATTGCAATGCTTGAACTGGGAAATTGAGAAGGCTAAACACAGCTCGACAACAAGGTCCTTTTCCTTGGGACAAATTGTGAACTGTCAAACAACTTGAACAATGTCAACTGAAGAAGATAATGGAACTGATAATACTAACCGTCCAGATTAATGCAACAGAAATTATCCAACAATGGGAACTAAAAATGTGAGGGAACCATATAAAGAAAATAGTTTCAAAGCAAGAAAAAAAAGAAGAAGAACAAGAAAGAGCAGGATGCTTGGTGTTTACTTGCGTGCGATCAAGTAGTATAAAATGACCACAAATGTTATGTGTCTATATATATAAATTTGTACAATATATATGTATAACCAATTAACCATTAAGCAGGAAGCCAATTTTTACTGACTGTATTAGTTGCAATTCAGTTGACTGACAAATGATAATAGTAAGGAATTGTATGCCTCAGAATCTACCCAGCATAGAAAACCAACAAACTTGCAGTCCTTTGAAGCTATTTTATTGATCTTATCAGATTCTACATGGGATTTTTCTATTTTTGTGCTTCAAATGGCCATCAACAAGAAGAAACTCGACCACTGAGTTTGTGCTGCTAAGAAGATTGTAAATTCTGCTAACTTACTAAGATTTTAGAATACTTTTTTTATGATCAGCAACCAAGAAAATTGTATTAGAGAATGTGCCAAGGGGCACAAACCTTATACAGTCAAATAAAAAAAATAAACAATAAAGAAAAGTACAAAAGATATATCCACCACCCATTCTCAAGTTACTTGTAATCTTTTATATAAATTATCCGATTATCACTACAATTTCAAGAAATAAGGGGTTGTTTGGGATGATCTAAATAAGTGCACTTTTTGACTTTTTATGAAATAGGGGTTGGGTTTGGGTTGGGTTTAAAGTGATGTGTTAGAGAGGTGACGTGACTTAAATAAGATGATGTGACTTAAATAGGATAGTGACTTTTTGACTTTTTGTCCTTTTTCAATCATGCCAAACTTGGCCTAAGTGTTACAAAGACTAGGATGGGAATCCAAAAAAGAAAAAAAAAGGAGTTCACTCCCAACCAAATTTTTAGACCATATTCTAAAATTTGGACTCAATTGATGAGAGAAAAAAAAAAGCACCATGCTGAGACAGCATTTACAGAATCACCTTCATGTTTAGTTTCCATAACAAAGTGAAAGCTCGTCTCATCCAAACTGCCATTGAGGTTATAGATACGAACCTACACAAGTTAAAAAATATAATATAGAAAATAAATAATGCAGAAGAGTACTCAGCCTCTAACTAAGGATCTAAAAGAAAACATTTTTCTTACCAGACCACATTCATTGCCAACAGCTAAACTTAAATTGAGAGAGCAGAAGTCAACTGCTGATACTGAAGCACTTGAACCTGCCACTGTCATACCTTTGACCTGCCAATCATTGATATATGTTTCTATAAAGAACCACTTGTAAATGACCATAAAACATGCTTATTCAAATTGAACATAGTGAATACCACTCCGTAAAGAAAAAAAATCCCCCAAATAAATGGATTTTTTTAATGAAACTCTAACCTCACTTTCTAAAACACAAATAAGTGATAAGACTGGATAAGTAGCATCCCATATGCGAACAGATCCATCTTGACAACCTGCCACATATACTCTCTCAACCCTGTTATTCTCTGTAAACAACGATCTATTAGATATGCCTCCAGTCAAGGGCCACCTCAAGCCCCCAGTCAATGTTGGAGTTGAACCAGATTTCTCAAGTGATGCTATCTAATTAAACACAAAGTTTTAGTTAATCGTGTGAGAGTAATCAGAAACAAAGGATTACAAAAATAACTCAATCGCTAGGAGTTGCACATGTTTACAAAAAAAATGCTTTACCTTTGACAGAACATCGGATGAGTTCCCACCTGGGGGTAAAACACTGAGCTTTGCCACTCTCATGTCAGCTGCAGGTACTACCACAGGAAATTCAACAACGGAGAGAGAGATTCTTTTCTCTTGCTGAGATAATGAGGCAGACAATCTAGAATCATCGAAAAAATGCAGTTGTCCAGGATTTGTCAATACAAATAAGGCAGTATTGTGATTATTCCCCATTGTCCCAGCAGTAGGTAACAAAATCATGTCTGCGAATGAACCATCCAGTGTAAGGTCCACCCGACCAACACATCTTAAAGTCTCCATCCCTGATGACCATTCAAGACTCAAAACCTGTAACAGATAAACAGAGTAACAAGGCACCTTATATAACTGAATCTAGGACAAAAGGAAGCGCCATCATTTAAACAATATCAACATGGCCATAACAAAAATTCTCTCCCCTTTAACAAGGTCCAAATCTCCTAAGTAAAAGATATCAAGTCACAAAGTCAAGTCACTTTCAACTATAATTCTTAAAGCATCTAAAACAGGATAAAGTACTGCAATTATGAATACAACAAAAAACTCCATATGAAGCTCACATAAAAAGAATTAAAATAAAAAAATACTTGCATAATCTGAAAAAATATAGGAAATTTTAAATTTGAAAATTTACAATTATAAATATATACAACAAATTTGCCACGCAATTAAGAATCTTACTCTATCAATTACACTATTCATGCTATAACAACATATCGATATTTTCATGAAAAACTAAAAGAATGAAAAGAATTATTTGGCTTACCTATGAATGAGGCGAAGACCATATATATATAATAGATTCATGATACAATTTAGGAAACGATATAAATAAGAAAACAATACTAAATCAGTGATTGATATAATCACAGATTATATACATAATACTAAAAAAAAAAATTCTATGTACTCTAATTTCTATATTCAACACTCCCCCTCAAGCTGATGTGAAGATATTCAACAATCGCAGCTTGCCAATGAATGACTGGAAGAAATCCGAAAAAACTCAATGGCTAGTCCAAATAAATATTACCGAACAAATCTGATAATCCACTAAATAAAAAAGGCCAAAAAGTGTTAAATATATCAACATCGGAAAAAACTCTATCCACTAGTTTATTTCTATCCCAAATATCTCTATCATATTTTTTTTTTACTCGCAATCTATTTTTTTGTGTGTTTTTGTTGCACTTTGTCTTTCCATCTATTTCAATTTCAAATAGGTTTCTATCTGTTAAAACCTATCACCTACTTCACCCACTTAAACCTACTCCACTAAACCTAACCCACTACACCACTACCAACTCACCTACTCCACTAAACCTAACCCACTACACCACTACCACCTCACCTACTCCACTAAACCTAACCCACTACACCACTACCACCTCCACTTCACCTACTCCTTACCTACTACACACTCACCCTCTTCTATATATAGGAATCATGAATCGTTGTATCAATATCAATAAATCAATCAATAATACAATTCTCTATTTCTCTTTATACATTAAATTTCTACACTATCTTCAAACCTACTTGAGTTTGAGGGGAGTATTATACCTATATCATGGTGATATACCATGTAAACCACCTAAGCCGCCCCATCTGGCACACAACCCAAGTCGCCCCCTTCACGCACCACCTAAGCCCCTCTCCCTCCGGGTGCACTTTCTAATAAACCGCCCCTTGGCACACTCAATCATCAGTTGCTATCATCGTTCAGCACTACGTCATAAGTTATGTGTGTGTCACGCTTGCTGGTTCAACATCCAGTTCTCTACATTGGTCCGGCATGACCCCTTTAAACTGTCTCAACATTGATTACGGTTAGTGTCTACAACGGTCCGACATGACCTCAAATTGTCCCAACATTAGTTCCGACCAATTTCTACAACGGTCGACACTACCATAAACTATCTCCCAGCATTAACTCCGGCCTTTGATATCAAAAAGAATGAAAATAATTATTTGGCTCACCCATGAATGAGATAGAGACCATGTATATATAATAGATTCATGATACAATTTAGAAAACAATATAAATAAGGAAACAATACTAAATCAGTGATTGACACAATCACAAATTATGTACATAATACTAAAAATAAAAAGATTCTATGTATTCTAATTTTTATATTCAACAAAACTTACACCTATTGCAACACCCTAATATTTAAAAAGGAATAGGCATCTCGTAATCTAGTTCTAACAGAAACTAACTTGAAGCATTAAAATAATGATTTTAAACAAAATAATCAACAGCTATCAAGTTGCTGACCCACCGTTAAAACTTCTTCAGATCCTATCTCACAGCCACCATATATGAAAAGTTGGCCATCACAATCATTATGGGATTTACTGTTTGCAGACCATTGTAAGACAATGACAGGGAGCTTCCTTTCAGCAGAAGATAATTGTATCTTAACAACATTGTTGCATGATAAGCCAGCTTGTTTGCCTTTACTAGTGGCAGCACTGGTTGTTTTCCAGAACAATATATCTCCATCAATGTATCCCACAGCGAGAATGGACCCACTGGAAGATGCCCAACAAAGTGCACTTATCTCTTTCTCCTCCAAATGTTGTTCAGATGCATCACCTGGAAGGTCAGTACGCACTTCACTAGGAGAATCAACAACTCCATCCTTCAATTCAAGAACTTTATCTCCTCTAACGACTAGAATCCGTGCTTCAATGACATCCCAAAGAATAAACAAACCACTAGCATATGCAATCAGAACACTGCAAAAAGAGAGAAAGTTTAGAGATTCAAGTGAAAAAGAGAAACAGTTTAGACAGTTCCTTGTGACTGTGAACAAAGGCCCGTGTTTGTCTATGTGATTAAGGCATTGCCATACTACACACTGAAGAGTGTCAGACAATCTTTTTACTCATTTTCTGTCTAATTTCATAAAGTGACTACATTTAATGATTAATGTTTACACAAGGACATCTAGACATGATTCTGCACCAGCATCTCAATTTGAGATTTATTTAATTTCATGAAAGAAAGAAATTGTGGAAAACGAGAACTAAAGAAAAATGAAGAAACTTCAAACAATTTGAGAAGCTCTACTTATCCACACCATTAGTCATTACCCAAGTAATCATTCCTCGTCTGTCTGATACATCTTTTAAATATTCAGAGAGAGAGAGAGAGATTATTGGCCATTTTAGAAGATTGTAAGACATAACAATCAATGGGTAGTTTCACATTAGGAACTCACAACTGATCTCTTTTCTAAGATTTACAGCAAGAATTCACAAAAAGATTAGCAAACTAACAATGATATAAATTATTAAGGGGACTCATTTCTGGTTTCATATTTTAAAAGCAAATAACCACAGAAAAAGAAACTTTAAACACTATTGTTATCTTGCCTCTTCCCAGAAGAACAAGGTTGAGGAAGAACTCCAACAATTGGGTGGTGATTAGGAACTGACAACCCAGCTGCTTCTGTGAAATAACACAAAACAATGGCATTTAATGTGTATTGGAGCCAGTTAAGGTCACAACTCACAAGCAGATCAAAAGCTGGATATTTATAAGATGGTGATCTCACAACAAAAATAAATAAGTGATCTTTTAAGTCTTTATGGACACTAAATTTATGGACTCTTTAATTAAGCATACCCATCAAAGACCAATTATACCAGAAAGGTGTGAGAACATATGATAGCAATGAATTAACAAAGGATAACACCCTGGATAAAGTTGAATAAATTTCTGCAAGTTGTGTGATGGAACTAAAAAATACATATACAGGTGGCCTTATATAGGTGATTTGAATGTACATTTGCTTCATTGAAATTTGTGAAGATCATGTTCTGTTTGTTGCTACATTTTTGTGGCAACTTTAAGAAAATTAAATCCGATGCCTTGACACAATTTTCTAGTTTGAACAAGATGAAGAATAATTGTGCATGGAAATTAGTATTTAATTTAATAATACAAACATTCTATAAACAAAAAGTCAAACACCAATAAATGAGTCATGCTCTGCAAGTACATAAGCAACTTTCAATGAGAAGATAAAGCATAAGTACCTGTTAGGTAATCCGCAGATATATGATATGGTAATTGCAAAAGCTCTGCACCCCCAGTTTGATACTTCAAAACAGACATCGTCCCATACTCGTCTCCAATATACCTGTGTTATTGCAACAGCAGAAAAAGAATTATAGAATGCACCAAACCCTTACTTCCATAGGCTGATCGTGTTAAGATCTAACAATTTTTTTGTCATCAGTGCATGAAGTGGGAGGAATTTGTCATCAGTACATGAAGTGGGAGGCATAGATTACAGAGAAAGCAGTTATATTGTATTCCCATTGTAAACTACCAGCAATACACCTGCTCTCCAGATTCCAAACCTGCAAGAGAGAGAGAGAGAGAGAGAGAGAGAGAGAGAGAGAGAGAAATCATTTAACAGAGAATATATGCTTTTATTATCAATATAAATGGTACAAAAGCCATTAAGGCAACACAACTCTCTAGAAACATACATATACATATGGATGTATGATATATCTGTCCAGTAATCCCACCTAAACGATGTCATATGTTTTTTTCTCTCTTTTTTAATTCCTTCAAGGATCATCAACACGTCCAATTATGCTTGAATTGCGATATGACAATGTAAGGAAAAAAAATGGAAGTTTTAATCAAAATGATTAATATAGCTTATAAGTCAGTTGGTGTTTGATCCAGCTTCTGCTAGCATTAAAAAATGAATAGAAAAGGAAGGGCCGGCGGAATGAAAATCAACTTTGAAAACACTCCAGTCCCGTCGATTTAATAACTGATAGACTAATGGCACATATTCAAAAACTGAATTCCAAAGCATAGAGCTCCTAGCAAGTCCCTCAACTCAGATCCAGCAGAAGCACTAGTCATTAGGCTAGTTTTTTTGGTGATGGGATATCATCATTGAGGGTGATCCAAACAGTCAACAAAAGCCTCCTCTGCATCCTGGGATATTCTAACTTTAGTTTTAGATACTATCTTGTCTCTCCACCAGCTCCAGCAAAGCTAACCAACAATTCATGAAGTTCCACAGATCTTTTAATTAAACTGGTCATCAGCTACCTCAGTGGGACTTTCCCTCAAGTTCTTGGGAGCTTTTGATCCTTCAGCGTTTTATCTCCAGTATCAGAGGCCTTTGCTAAGAATTTAACATTTCTGACCTCTGCTGCTTGTTAATTTTTTTTTTCCCCTTTGTCATCTGTCTAGTTTGTCTTGCTTGCTAATAATTTGAGAAGCATTACAGCATTGAACAACGAGAAGGAATATTAGAAGAACAAATGACGTGAGAGCTTGACAGAGTGACAATACTGCTATCACTAAGTCATGTTTACACAAGAAGAAACTAAACAATCCATAGAAAATAGATACCTGAATATCATTATCATTTGAGATGCTGACTAAAAGGCCTTGGTTTTGGAGAAACTGCAGAGGAACAAAGAAAATAAAACTCTGCATTAAAACTTAAATGAAAACTTTTATCAGGAAAAAAAAGTGAGACAAAAAATACTACAAGCATATAATGGAGCTTGTATTATCTCTCAGTTACAGCATCTAAATGGCATCTTCTAGCATAGTTCACCATTTGTCAAGCAACTCAAACTATAGGTGGCAAACAAGTAATAGTTTAACAATCAAATGCATTGCCTTGCCACTCAATATATAGTCTGATGATAATACAAATAATAAAGTTACCCCTCTTTTTAACAGTTTAAGCTTTCAGATGAGTTGGTGATTAACAATTCAAAATGGTATTAAGCAGGTGCAGGTAATAGGTTTTTTGTTTGAAACTCACTACCTACTCAATGATTAAAATACTTGCATATGTTTGTCCCATTTATAGAGGAAAGCCTGACCACACATTAATTTCTCACTAGGAGGTCTAGAGCTATATTACCTGGAACACAGATAGTTTCGGTACATGGAACGAGGACAGAGAAGTGATATGCCACTTGAATTAAAATTTGGTAAGGTAAAGGGTAGACGTGTATAGATTACGCTATTAGAACTTAAGGTACTTCTAAAGCAATTTTCTTTTAACAATAAAATATAATCTATTTTCTCTTCAAATTAATCATATAAAATCACATTTCTAAGAGCATTATGGCTCTTTTTTTGACATTTTGTCTAACCAAAAGTCCACTCTCCCTAGATTTTAGTAGATTATATATATATATATATATATATATTTTTTTTTTTCCCTCCTAAGGAAACCTTAAAGAAATAACAAGGGAAAAAAATTGAGATCGCTTTGCATTCTGATGTACCAAAATAAAAAGTAAAAAAGACAACAACTTGGATGTTGACCCAGCACCATACCACAACACTCCTCCTTTACATGGGCTTGAAAATAGTTGTATGAATATAAGACACAAAACAGAAATGTGTGAAGAGTTGGAATTACCCAATATTGGGTATTGAATATACATTTTATAGATGATGCAATAATTTGCAAACTTTGGAATCAGTTTTTTTGTTGAACTTACAAACCTCTAAGTATTTGTAAGGCAAATGCTTTGGGGAAATCAGAAGAGCTTCAATATTATCACCACCAATCACTTTTATCCTACCATCCCTGCATGGGTTTCAAGGAAAAAATAAATAAAACATTGGAAGTGATAGAAATACCATATTGTGCCATATATTGTCCATCTCTAGTCACCGACTAGCATGTCGGCCCTTGCTTAAATTTCTACTTACAGTGTTCCAATGGCCAATAGGCTCTGAATGGGGTCAAACGCAAGAACTGATGCAGTAGATGGGATACCATAATGAATAGCAATTTGCACATCCAAGTTTGGTAACATCACATTGCTATGCACATTTTTCTGAATCAAGAAAACATAAAAAGATATTTCACTGCAATCAATTAAGGATTGGAGAAAACTAAAATTGAAAAGCCATTTGTTGCTACTCTGTATGAATTTTTTCATAGCAACGGACGATAATAGAAAGTTAAAATAGTATTTCAACAGGAGATAATACAAACTTTGGAAACATGATCACAAATATATAAATAAACATATACAATGTCGTAAAACAATAAAAAAGAACCGAATAATGAAGATATATACATTGATCAATAGATAATCCGATTCGAATTAAACCAGTTGATAGCACTTAAATTAGCTTTAGAACTCAAATTCAAAGTATTCATCAGCAATTTCAACTAAAATTTTGTTCATGTTAGATACTATATACCAGTTGATAACACTTAAATTAGCTCTAGAAATTTAAATTCAAATCATTCATCAATTCACCAACGATTTCGGCTTCCAATTGCGATTATTTTTAGTTTCAAAACCAAAATTGCTCTTTTAATTTGCTAAGGAGTGATCCTTCAATGAGTGAACTACAATTGAAAAACTGAAACCCTATATATCATCGTCATTCATAAGGATTGGAGAAAACTAAAATGTGAAGCCATTTGTTGCGACTCCATATGAATTGCAACGGACAACATAGCAAATTAAAGTAGTATTTCAACAGGAAAAAATACATACTTTGGGAACATGATCATAAATATATACATAAACATATACAGTGTCTCAAAACAATAATAAAAAAAAAAAACTGAATAATGAAATATAAAACACGTAATGAAGATATATTATACACATTGATCAATAGATAACTAACGAACCAGTAAAATTTTGTTCCGATTCAAATTAAACCAGTTGATAACTCTTAAATTAGCTGTAGAATTTAAATTCAAAGTATTCATCAGCAATTTCAACTAAAATTTTGTTCATGTTAGATACTATAAACCAGTCGATAACACTTAAATTGGCTCTAGAAATTCAAAATCAAATCATTCATCAACGATTAGTTTCAAAACCAAAATTGCTCTTAACTTCAATTGAATCAACGAAACCCTATATATCATCGTCATTCATAATTGATCATGTAGCGAATTTGAAATCAATTAGCAATGAAAAAGATTGAGATGAAGAGCTCTGAGTTCCGATCTGTGAAAGAAAAACATTACCTGAGAATGATGTGCAGCTTTCTGCAACAGACGCTTCGCAAACATGGCGATTTTGCTGAGAATTCGAAGCTGGGAATTTCAAATCAAACGATCAAACCTTCGTTTTTGTTGTTTACTGAATTTGACGACTTTTGTTTTTTTGGTGCATACAACATTTCTCGAATTGCACGTTAATTTGGGAAATTCAACGGCTCGCTGGTTCGAGTCCACGTGTTGCTATGGCCCACTGCAATAAAATGGCCCACTATAATAATTTTCAAATTTTATTTAAAAAATAGGCACCCATCGACTGCCACAATGTATATTATGCCTTGTTATTTTATTATTTTTTAATTTTTACTTAATTAGCGGTGGATTTAGGGATGACAATGGATAACCTATTCTGTGAATATTCATGGAGACTCAACCCAAATACATGGGTTTTTTCTTATTTTTCTTATCCATTGGGTAGGGTAGGTGATATTTTTTAAATATCCACAGGGGATGGGTTGGGGATGGGTACCCACTAATTTTCCCATATATATATATATATATATAAAAGATTCACAACTAAAACTAAATATACATTCAATCTTTTTTATTTTATTTATTTATTCAAGTTCACAACCAACTTCTTTCTTCTTTTTTTTTTTTTTTTTTTTTTTTTTCTTATTTCTTCTTTCTAATAGTTTCATTTCTTATTTTATTTTTTCTTGTACACTTAAAAAACTTATTTGCATATTTCTTCTTTCTTCTTCTTATTTTTTCTTGATTTAGTCCCCACCCATCCATCTAAACATTTTCATTTCAACTACACTTATTTTGTAAATATGTTTTTCTTAACTGCTCCACATTATTTTCTTCTACTTCAATTTTTTTTTTCTTTTCTAATTCTCTCATTACTTCATATATGTCTATGTAAGCCCCCTAAAATGGTTGAGATTATTAGAAATAATAATTTCCTTAATTGAAATAGTTACCAAAGTGGTATTATAATTTTGTTATGAACGTTAGAAAATTATTATGAATAATTATAATGTAGTTTTTTAAAAAAATGCATATGTATTTTTTAATAAAGTGTATATTACAATTTTCCTATCCATTGACAATTTTGTTCAAATCTAGGTATCCAAACGAATACAAACGATTTACCACTCAGCAAGTACATGAAAATAAAAAAAATAAAATAAAAATGTAAAACTAACATTTTCTTTACTCCATTGTTCCAAACCAATATTGCCAGATGCATCCGTCATTCAGTCTAATCAAAATCTTTAATAATATGTATATTTTTTTGTTTTGGTTTTTTGTTTTTGGGTCTTTAGGTTCTTGAGAGAGAAGATACGTAAGTAACGTTTCAGAATAGAGGTATTTTTTGTTTTTTAAAAGTAACAAACAACAAAATTCGTGGGGGACTAAAGGAAGAAGATGGAGGATGGATTGGGTGTGGTAATGCATAGATATCTTAAAATGAGTGGTTCAGATTTGTTAAAGGTATAATTAGATTTTGGATAAATTAAAATGAATTGTTCAAATTTGCTAAGAGAAAGATGGTTTAATGTCTAAATTGTCCGTGGCTAACAATTCCTTATTTATGCCCTGATGCAATTTAATATGAGTCTTATAACACTTTCTTCAAACAAACTTTTTGATTTTCTCAAAATTATATATTTGATTATTATAAAACAAACTTTTTAATTAATTAATTAATGTGTATTTGATTTTGTTGTTGAACCAAATAAAATAAAATAAGATTGAATGTATATTTAGCTTTTGTTGTGAACCTTAAAAAAATAAAAAATAAAATAAAAAAATAAGTTGTTAACATTAAATATATTTAAAAAGAAAGAAAAAAGATTGAAGGTATATTTAGCTAAAACCTTTATAAAAAAAAAGACAAAAGAAAAATAAGAAGGTTGTTAACATTAAATATATTTAAAAAGAAAGAAAAAAGATTGAAGGTATATTTAGCTAAAACCTTTATAAAAAAAAAGACAAAAGAAAAATAAGAAGGTTGTTAACATTAAATATATTAAAAAAGAAAGAAAAAAGATTGAAGGTATATTTACCTAAAACCTTTATAAAAAAAAGACAAAAGAAAAACAAGAAGGTTGTTAACATTAAATATATTAAAAAAAGAAAGAAAAAAGATTGAAGGTATATTTAACTTTTGTTGTGAACCTTAAATAAAAAATAATAAAAATTGTTAACATTAAATATATTAAAAAAGAAAGAAAAAAGATTGAAGGTATATTTAACTTTTGTTGTGAACCTTAAAAAAAAAAAAAAATAAAAAAAAATTGTTAACATTAAATATATTTAAAAAGAAAGAAAAAAGATTGAAGGTATATTTAGTTTTTGTTGTGAACCTTTTAAAAAAAAAAAGGTGATTGTTAACATTAAATATAAAAAAATAAAAATGGGGATTAAAGTGGGTTGGGAAAAATCCATACCCATTAAAAAATGGGGAGGGTGGTACCCATGAAAAATTTATTATAGAGGAATGATGATGGGGAATTAATATCCATCCCATTGCCCCCCATTGCCATTCCTAGGTGGATTTAAAGCTTCTTATTTATAATTCTAAATCATTGCGGCTATAATAACATGGCCTAATCAAAATGGCCCACTATGATAATTTTAAATTAATGTATTTGCCTCACATTTTGAAAATGGCTGCTTTTTTATTTTTATTTTTTATGTTTAGAGAATTTGAAAGGTTTCTAAGATTCATCATAAATCTTATTTTAATAATTTAAATTATTTATTTTGTTAAATTTTCAATGTATATCATCTACAGGGGACAAAAAATAGTAATATTTTCATTTTATCACATTGTTTCTAAAAAAATAAATGACAAATACATTTTTAAAAATAGACAATTCAATTTTTAGAAATAAATACGATAGAATGAAAAAGTTAGAGTTAAAAGCTTTTGGAGATAAAAGTTAAGATTATCAAATCAGCCTTTTTCCTAAATGATATATATTGACGATCTTACAAAATGAACGTTTCGAATCATTAAAACAAAATCTATGGTGGAACCCACAAGCTTATTAAATTCTCCCATATTGAAATGTGAATATGTGAAAAAAACTAAACTCTATAATAATTTAATGATAAATTACACTGACCTCTCTGAAGGTTTGAAAAAAAATATAATAAGTCTCATAATTTTTGACATAATTACATTGACTCCCTTTTAGTAAGGTTAAATGAATTTAGACAAATGTAGATGGTGTGAAACACAAAAAAAAAAAAAAAAAAAAAAAAAAAAAAAAAAAAAAAAAAAATGTAAAGTACACATTTTTGTGTAAAAGGAAGACAATATCATTTTTTCATCCATATAACTAACAAATTATTAATGAAAATGGGACTAAATGTTATATGAATTAAAATTTCAAGAGAGCTCAATATAATTATATCAAAATCGTGTGATTTACTGTATTTTTTTTCTAAATCTTAAGAGGTCAGCATAATTTACCCATAATTTAAATATTAAAAAATATATAAATCTTTGTCTCTCGTCTTGTTTATTTTAAGGGTTTATTACAATTTATGGCCCTAAACTTGTAATAATTTGTAAATCGACGGACCTAGTAGGATGGGAATAATTTTTGTATGCGTCGATTTTAGTTTATCCAACAAGTTTCCAACCATTTTCGTTTGGTTTCAGATACGTGTTGCTTGACCAGCGATAGACAATGATTCATCTCCAGATCCAGGATCTTCCAAAAGCCTTATCGTTGTTCGCCGATATAGCTCTCTTGAATCGATCTTTGCCACTGTCAATCCTATCACCTTTTGCGATGCCTTGAAGAGACAGGTCTTGTCGGATTCCATGATTCAGCTGAAATAACACCAACGAGGATGCTTCCACCAGAATTTCTTAGCATGGAGTCTCTGTAGATGGCTCTTCTCTTCTTGTAAAAGAGAGAAGAGGAGAGAGAGTATGTGAGAACTTGAGGCTTTGAAACCAACAAATAAAAAAAGAAAGAAATGAGAGATAAAATGGATATGTAATCCTTTCTATCTCTAGAAATGAACCCTAAGTACATATGTCAAATATTTTAAAGTGTAAACTTTTAGACAAATAAAATCCAAATCTAAATTTATAGAGGGAATGCCCTTTTTAATATAATTACTTTATATGTTTTCAATATATAAAATAATATTGAATATTAAATTATAAAACAACTAAATTATACAAATTCAATATCGAATATTATTATAAATTAAATGAATAATATCTTGGTTAGAGTTTTTCAAAAATACTTTTCAGAAAATTCTAATTTCTTATTTTTTGGTTTTTTTTTTGTTTTTACTAATTTTTTTTTAATATTTTAAGCAATTTTTTTATTTTATTTTTAGATATATAAAAACTCATAATATTGCTTTAATTTATCGTGTCCATTATAAATGTATTAAAATCAATTTAAATGTTACACAAGAGTCCTAAAGGTCAAACTCTATTAATTCAAAGCAGTAGTAATCATGAATCACATATTAATGTTCCTCAAATGATTGAATGGAAAAATATCGACTTACCTCATCAATGGGTTACTGTCAATGAAAATTACAAACATAATCAACAACAATCCACTAGTCAAGATATCCAAGATATTCAACAATTTACTGACGGTTCAGTCCGTATTAAATTTAATCGTAGTCAATCTTTTAGACATAGTACTTCTAGTATACCTACTGATGTTGAAACTGAAGATGAAATATTTAATACTATTTTATTCCGAAAAAATAATCAAATTAATCTTGGTCAACCTTCCCATAGTAAATTAAATGGCATTGATAACTCTACCACTTCTCAAATTAGTAAACCTGTTTACTCTACTCACACACATTTACCTAGAGAAGATGCTGAATCAAATAATTCTCCTACTCAAACTGATTTCGAAGTAATACCTCCAATCAATCCTCAATTAATTACAATTAATAAATCTTTTGCTCGGATACCAAAAGGGATTGGAAGTAGGAAGTAGCACTAAAATAATAATAATAACAAACATTAATAAAACTTACAATTGTTTACTAGAATGAAGCAAGCAGTTCTTCAAAATACATAATTTGTACACTGAAAACAATTTTATAAAATTACAGAGAAAGCTATTTTCTTGAGGAAGGAATGCTTGCAATTTTTCTAATTTCAAGGTCAGTACTAGGCAGCTT